ACCAAAAATGGGTTAAAATAATCGATTTCTTTCAGTAAGCACTAACGTAAAGAAAGTATATCATTTTAAAGTTCAACTTATCTAAGAGTTTTATTCTGTTTTTAATTTACATTGAATACAACAACAATTGTAAATTTGATCTAACCCTAACTTTCTGTATAACATAACGTTAACATGGCCCTAAATACAGTCTCGTACCACATCTATTTGGGCATACTTTTATGAATTTCTGTGGAAAACTAAAACTTAAAACGTGTAAGGAGATTTCTTTACTTCTCTATAAAAAGTTCATATTAAATTTTAATTGAGTGACGGTGGAACAACCATTTTTAGCTCGAATAGCTCATTAAAAGCGCAGTATTCTTATTTGAAATATTTTAAGTGGTTTTCGTAAGCACTTTATTGCTAGATTTGTGTTTTGAAATTTGTATGCATGTGATATTTTCAAAAAGAAAAAGGAATTTGTCTTAACAGATCGATTGATTATAAATCTTTGAAATTAAATTTAATACAGAAATCACTAAATTAATTGGAGGTTGTAGGGTAATAGCATTTGATGGTATTTAATTTTCGAATCATTTGGCGTTGTTCAATCACGAACATGAGTTTGACCTCCGGCAGTATGTTCAATCATGAACATGAATTTATACCATATATTTAATTACTATAGTTTATATTATCACCTAAATTCTTAGAATAATGTACTAAGGAAAAATATAGAAAAATAGCAACCGTATTTAATTATTAAAATAAAATATATTAATTATTAAAATAAAAACAATAGGAGGAAAATCCCAAGTGTTGGGACTTCCGTCCATTTTTAACCTTTTTTAACCTTTTTTGACAAATGTAATACAGTCCACTAAAATCATAATAATTTAACCTTGATGTAGAAATTAGTCTTAAAATATTTTTGTATAAAAACACAACATTATTTTAAATAAATTTAGTAGCTAAAATATACTCAAACTGTGTACTTCATTGAAATAAAAGTACAGGCGTTTTGCAACAAGTGTGTTGAGAGAGATTATAAACTCCACCTCGTTTTATGAGGTACTTAGGGTTTCATCTGCTCACAACGATTTTTAGTTAACAATATAAGCATTGTCGTTTGATATTATTTTTGGGCTACTCATGATCTTTATTGACCAATACTATTTGCGATTTGGACTGCTATTTTCGTTTCACTCTTGGAACTAAAACATCTCATTGAAGTCTATATACTTTAACAAATCTTCTCTTGTCATGCAGTTGTAAAAGCCATTTCATTTTCTAACCTTATAAGGTTAGAACACGAGTTGATAAAGTTATTTATAAGGTTAAAGATACACAGATACTATTTATCACTGGTTTTAAAATATAGCAAACTTTATAATTCATATATGAAATCTACCTATAATTATGATATCGGGTTTTAAACTGGATTATATTAGAATACTGTACCATTAATGCACAACTTTAAAATTTGGATTTCCTTGGGAATATTTCAACGGAAATCGATTAATCAAAGTATAATAATATTCTAAGGATCATAAACTGCATAATCAGGCATTTCATAACGACATAGAGATACTTTAATAATTATATAAATTATTAATGAAGAAATATAAACTTTATTTTATTGCTTTTATTTGCTATAATAAAATTAAAAAAATTACTTTTAAACAATTTAAACTTAAACTGAAATCAAAAGTTGAAAAACATGCTCTCCTCTTGGCTATCAACAAAAAATTTCGGAGTGGAAAAAAGTATTTTTTGCAGTGTTTAAATTAATTAAGATTTCATTGAATTTCTTGCGAGTTGACAAACAATTGCTCCAAATTTGTTATTCTTCATATGCTTTGGTACCGAATTCTACTCTATTTGTGTGCAAATGTTTTGTCAGGAAAGTCCTTTGGGTCAAATTAAACCATTTGCTGCGCACTTTTCGGTCTGTGGAAACAGAATTCCAGTTTCATTTCTTCGGTGTTTTGTTCTCGATATTTGCAGTTGTGGATATGTGAGGATGTTTCGCTGCGAATGTTTTGCTTATAAACATCACGTACCGAAAACGACAACTGTTGTTAGTTGTTCCACTTCGTACGGACTCAGTTAATCTTTGGTTTTACTGCGCTTCCGAGAGTGTATCGCTTTCATGTTAAAAGGTTCTAAGTGCTTTAAATTATATCCAAAATGAATTTTTAAAACGTTCATGTGTTGTTTAGTTAGATTCCCTATGATTTATGTAGTAACGCAGTTCTTAACAATTTATGAGCCACAGACGATTACTCGAAAGCATTAGTATATACCATATATTCATTTCGTAGGACTTAACTTGGGAACTATGAGTAAATTAGATCTTGTTAAGCTTATTTTACTAATAATTACTTTTAAGTGAGCAATTCAATTTTGAATTGCATTTTAAGTGATTACTAATTTGGCGTTTAAATTTGCACAAATTGAGTAAAAATAATTTAAGAAATATAATACTTCATTCATATTTATTTTCATTATTGGAATATTTTTATAGCAAATATTAATTATACTGAAAGCGTCAGAGTAAAAAGATACAATTTAAATTCAATTAAAATCAATTTACTTCAATAAATTATTTTAATTGATGTATCTCTTAAACAAAAGCATGAAAGAACTTTGTTCTTCTTAACATTTAATCTAATAATGATGCCTTAAACAGAGCCTAATATTAATAACCTTAATTTATAATTATTTAAAGTAAATTGATTATCCTTGTAATTTACTTGATGAGTAGTCTCATTGTACCAAAATGGTATGGAATAGTAGGAATGAATATGGAAGAGATAAGATACCTTTACAACAATGACTTGCTAGAAGAAGATATCAAATGTACTTTGAACAAATAATTTGAAATAATGTAACTGAAAAGGGGAAGAAAAAACAATATTCAATAAAGACTTAAAAAGTAATGGAAAAGTGGATATATATTGAATATATATTGAATATAAGTATATACTACTTATACCAAAAATTATAAATTACAAAACATATGGGATTATCTGCTTTGTTGGCAATTATATTGTATTAATTAATAAAAAAAAATTTTAAATTTTATTCAGAAAAATGAAAATAATAAATATATATGAGAAAATATAAAAGAAATTCTTCTGAAATTTGGAGGGAAAGTTATTGATTGTTATATGCGGTCTCATTGTAAAAGTGTAGTTCTTAAAAGCGTCACCTGGCGGTAACTTAAAAAATATTTTGATTAATATTATATATATATATTCTAAGATCAGCCAAAGGGATCATGTTTTTATTGTTTCAAAGTATATTCTTACGAATTCAATCCTATCAAACTGAATTGAATTATTGGATCAAATTTTGAGTGCGCTATGGGCATCACTGATCCTGACATACCACTGAACATGTATATTAACTTTATTTTTAATAACTTTAATGTGTTCTTTGCATGTACAGCCTCACAATTCCGCTACATAAGGCCTTGCTGACTCTTGTATTTGCTTATATGGAAGCATTTTATTTTAAATGGATAGAATAACATAGAGCTACTTCCGATTATATCACGTTAAATTATTTTTTTAGTTCTGCCTTTTAGCACAGTTTAGAATCAATAGTAATACCAAATTATTTCGCGACATTCAATGTATTTCATCCACAAAGAGAAACTAATAGAGCATATTAATAGTCCAGCTTTTTTTAGTGCTGACTGTACCCTATAAATTATTTCATATCGAGAAGTTGGGTGTATCTGATGAAAAATAAGGCCAATGTGCGGTTGAAATAAAGTACAGAACATTGTTTTGCAATTATTGTTGTTGGCGCTTACTCTGTGTGATATTTCCGAATATGGTATAGCCTTTAGACCGTAGTAAAAAATATCCTACTGAAATTGAAGAAAGATAAGCTACCGAGAATTAAAACGGAGAACTTAATATTGAGTATTAAAAGGACTTAATACTGCGGAGGAAGTTTTTAGAGATCTTAGTCCTCTAGTTGGTATGCATCTAAAATTTTGTTTCTTCTGTGGCATAATGCATCATAGTTGACGTTCAGATGCTCCATAGACTCTTCCTCATCAAAGCAGAATCTGGAAATATTTGTGCTGGATATACCTATTTTGTGTAGGTGTTCATTGCAAGCAGCGAAAATTTGCTTTGAGAGTGCTTGCATTGTAGTTTTCTCTTGTATTGCTGGATGTAGCGGTGGTAAATTTAGCAATGCTTCCATGCCAGCAGTTGAGGTAGTTTAGACTAATGTATCCATTTGTCTTTTTATTATTATGTTATATATGTTGGATTGAGAAAAAACCATACTCAATCCTTCTTAAGCAATCCTTCTTAGTTCCATTTGTTGGAACTAGGAATTCATATAGTTTTTTTTTTTCATTCAACAAGAAACAGGAATGAAATACTGAATATTTTTACTGAATATTTAAAGCTGAATATTTTAAATATTTCAAATATTGCAAAAGAATTTAACGGTTTATGGTTTTAAAAAATTTGTACGGATATTTATAACTAATTGTATATAATTAAATATATTAAATTTATAATTTAAATGTTCCAATTTAACATTCAAAAATTTTTAAAAGTTATTTTCTTAAGACACTTGAACCGAATTGAGTATTTTGTCAAATATGTGGTCCATAAAGAACGGTTAGCTATTCGTATTAGTTGCCAAAAAGTTGTAGTCTAACCTAATCCACTCCGCCCAGCCTTGCCTCACGTAATTCATATATATAATTCTAAACAATCACCAATCACTTAACTTGATTATTTAAAAAAAAAAACAAAAAAATTCTGGTCTCTCTACCAGAATTGCCTCCATAACAGCAAGTATTTTTCATATTAAAAATAGTAAATAAATAATTGAAATAAATAAAAAATTTAAATAAAAGAATAAAAAAGGAACATGAATGTTCATATTTTTCTATTTTATTTTTTCATTTTTTTTTCATTTTTTGTTTTATTTTGTATTTCTACTAATTTCCTTTAAATTATGGTCACGTCCTTGATTTGCAGCGTCCGTGCACCGTCTGCGCCACAAAATATGCTACAACGTACACAAGTGCTTGCAATTTGAACAGCAATGGCAACGGCAACAACAACAAGCAACAACAACAATTGTAGCAATGGCAGCAATAAAAGTCATAGAAATTCGTAAAGTACAACAACAAGTAGTTGAAATGTCACTACGAACTACACTTTTAAGAAATAGAAAAATGGAATAATTTACAGTCTGATGCACAACACGCCCACAAACAGAAGTTATGCTCTTGCTTACGATTTTCTACATATTTTTCTTTAATATTTTCTTTTTTTGTTTTTTTTGTTGTTTTTGTTTTTCAAAATTGTTGTACTTTCAAATTTTTTATTTATTCTTTTGTGAGTTTTGTGTATTTTTCTATATTTTCTTAAGCGCACTTAATTCGACTACTCATTTCTGTGCTTTCTGTGCTTTCTTTGCACAGCTCAGTTTCAACGGAAGCACATGTGTACCGCTGGCTTTAGTTTCAACAACAGTGCACAGCAGCCGCAGCAGCAGCAGTGGTTACAGCAGCAGTAGCAGCAACAGCAGCGCCACAAGCAGACAAATACTCGAAATATAAGTCACGAAAAAAGGTACCAAAATGTCACATCTAAGCTTAGTACCAGTGGCAATACGTGTGAGTGGTTTGGATGTGTGTGTGTGTGTGTGAGTGTGCGTTTGTGAGTGTTGGTTACTGTGGGTTTATGTGTGTTTATTTTGGTGTCTCAATGAAAAATAGTTTTAGTGCTAAATGGAAATAGTAGCAGACTCGACTTGTGCACAATGAAACAGAGCAACAGCAATAGAAACAGCAACAAAAATACAAAGAACACGAGAAAATCATAATACCAAAAACAACAAGAAATGACAAAACAAAAAAATGTGTAGCATACTTTTGTGTGTTTATTTGCCTTCGTACGGAATTGTGGCTGCAAGTCACATTCCAATTGAAAGGATTTTCATTTTGTGCAAAATGGTCGTTTTAGTGTGGCATACTAATTTTTTTTTTAATTTTTTTTGTGTGTATTTTTTGTCTTGCTACGTTTTTCCTTGTGGTCCCTTTTCAAGCATTCAAGTACACAGTACATATAATTTTGTGATATAAAAAAGAGATTATTAATCGTAAATAAAAGGTATATATAAATAGAAAAGCATATTTTTTTCCTGAATTATTAAAATTTTCTTATTTAATTTAAAAGAAAAAATTTTGGCTTAATGATACGCTCATTAATCATTTCAGACACGAAAGGATATTAAGGTAATTAGTCCTTGGCGCTACACTGCAACTGCACCAATATACATTTTTTCGTTTTTACTCATATTTTTGCAGTAAAATCCTTCAAATAGATGGGGAAAAAATGCAAAATATGTTCATTAATATTTCATAATAATAATTACTATAAATATACATGACTTACTTATATTTGTTTATTTGTTAATAAAAGGATATACTTACGGAAATTTTACTTCTCATCCTTTTGTTTTCAACTATGTAATATATCACTCTCTTGTTTTGATTTCAACTCGGTTTTATTATAATTTTCTTTGGATTTATAGTAGTTAATAGGTTGCCTTATCTATTGACTTCGACTTGTATATAAGATCTTTTTTGTTTTGTATTCCTAATTGTATTTATAAATAGTATTTTTTTCTGTTTTATGCTCAACACCTCAGACCACTATTCACATTATTTCTTTACATTGTAGTAAGTGTCCAGATAACATAAACCAATAATAATAAGTAAACGGTTCTCAATAAAATGTTGTATTATTTGATGGAATCGAATCGGATTGAAGGAATTGTGTTTTTGTATTTGCTAGGTTAGGTTAATTTATACCGACGATTCTGAGGATCCACTTAGGCCTATTAGTCCGTCATATTACAGTATAAGAAATTCAGATTCTTGAAAATTTCCTTAAACATTTATGGTCAGCCAAAAATTCAATTAATTAAAATAATATAAAAAAATAAATTTTTGTTGTTGTATTTCACTACTGTTCGAAAAAACCTCTTTATTAAACATTTATTAAAGCCTATAACGCTCTTTGAAGTCGGGTTTTGGAGCTAGCCAAAATCGGCAAAAAATCAAGTCCCTAACATAGTCAATCAAAGCCGCACAATTGGTGGACAGTAATAAAATAGATGTTAGATACTTTGATCGTACTCTCCAGAAGTGCGACCAAAATGATTTTAAAGAGAGATTCAATATTCAAGTCGCGTTCTCAAAACTGCATTGACACGTTAACCAACCTACCAAAAGATTGTTGTCTTTACGGAGCATCTCAAACAGGATATTATTTTTTTTTTTAATAGAACGCGCTTCCAACTTGTTTACAGATGTCTATTATCATTGAGTCTTCTTGTCTTATAATAATTTATTCAATAAAAGAAGATAAAAACAACTGTTTGCATGGTGCCAGAGTTATGTTCAGATTTTTCATGTGCTCCTAATAATTACCTAAAGCACCCCGACTGCATCGACATTTTGGTTAGATATGTGTAATCATCAAAAACTGTCTTGGATGAAAATTATACTAAACTCCAGGATTTTAGAACAGTTTGACTGTGTAGTAATGTGTGCATATTTCTATTTAATATATTATCCACTTACAGACAAGCTTAAGTTGTCCTAGCAGTGTTCATTTCTGCCTAATAAAAACTGCAGTGTTCCGAAAGCCTATAAGGTACTGATCTATTCAGTCCCTTCAAAAAACAAATAGCATTACCCATTTTTGAAATATCAGAAACCGTTCTGGAAGAAAATTCAACTGTATTTAAAGGCTTTAGAACAGTTTAGCTGTCTGATAGTACATATATATTTCTACTTAATGTATTATTACTTTTTATATTACTACTATTAATGTATCCAAAAATACTATAGCTTTTCTATTAGTGATCACTTTTGCTTGAACGATAATGAAGTGTTCAAGATTCCTATAATATATAGATTTATTTAGTCATCAATGGAATACTTAACTGTCTACATTAGTTTTTCTTTTAGAATCGTCAGTAAATATGTATAGTTAAACTCTCTTTTTCCGATAACCCAGTGTCTCTAAATAATAAATTGACATTTTATATCCTGTCGAAAGTAAGAATGCATAAGATATAGTCAATATTTTCTTAGAGTAAAATTGAAGAGATTAAAATAGCGTATAATTATAATCAGTAGCCTGTCTATCTGTTACATTTGAAGATTTCACTTTGTGATACTTTATTGATATCGATCTATATATATAAATGAATAAAAATATACTAAAATTTTACAGTTTTTTAAAGATAGACGATGTGATAATCAAAGAAGTAGTTCAATACTTATTTGAGCATTCAACGATATTGTTTTGTTGAAATAAAATTTTGAGTTACTTATTCTAGATTTAAATTTAGTTGCTGAATAAACTTAAGATTTTTAAGATAGTTAATTTTACAAAAGCCAATTTTAATATTGCCATATAATTTTCTTTATAATTTTATTTATTTATAATTTTACTTCTTTATAAATATTTATATTATATATAAATATATATTAACTTATTTTTATTATGTGATAATTGTTATAATAATGTTATAGTTATTCTTTTTTTTTTTTTAAATGTCTTTATTTTTTTTTTCAATCAATTAATACTATAAAATTATTAAAAATATTTCTATACAATTTTTAAATTAATTTTATGATGTCAATATAATTATAAAAATCTGTTAAAAATATTTTAATTAAATAATTATTTATTTATTTTTATTCAAGTACTTTAATATTTTATTCATTTGATTTAAGAAATCTGCGATCAAAGCAAAATTAATTTTCTTTTATTATTTTTTTTACTATAACTTACAAAATTATAGTAATTTTTTTTGATCCTTAAAAATCTTTAATCAATATCCTTTTTCGGTGATTTTTCCAATTCAATGCAAGTGACATTCACAATAAAGAAAACACAACGCAGGTGTTGAATTTGGTGGCTTTTAAAAGTGAAATGCAAGTACATGGCAGCTCACATATTTTCTCCGCAAACCATTTTCGGTTCCTTGTTTCGCGTTTCTGAAACCAAAGACTAATGCTCCACTAAACTTGCTCGAATGCTTCTCAAATTCAGGACAATAGGGAACTTAATCGATTGGCAATGCAGCAGCTGCACTCTGTGTAATCACAAATTGAAGGCGCGCGCTAGTTTCGGTTTATTGTGCGAAAGGATATTCAAGTCAAAAGGATATTCAATAAGGATTTCAGTTTGGTTTTCAATTGTGGTGGAAATGGGTTAAGAATTTATTTGCCGTCATTGAAGTTCAATTTAATTATTGTTTACTTTCAATTTACCTAATTTTTACAATAAAGTATATGAAGTTTATTTAAGTTATTTGTTTTAAGTTTTTAATATATGTGGTGTTTATATTTTCTGCTCTAAAAAGTCAATCAAAATTAATTAGAGATAATAATTATTGTTTAATAGTTTTTGGATTTTTCAATAAAATTAAATTCTTTGTAATTTAAAATTTTATTTTATATAAAAATACTCGCTGAATAGAGTAATAGACTTCCCTTTAGTTAATATCTTTCTCCAGCTAGGTTTGTTTATTAGTTTTTCTATATTTTCTAAAATAAAATAAATATTTTATATGAATATATATCAAACAATTCCAATAATTCATATAACTGTGATAGTATAATATCAGATCACACGTCTAACAGATTGCAGATCATATAATATGCTAATGTTCTGTTTGTATATGGTTCAGTTCATGTAATTGAACTTGTCGTTCTTTAAACAATTTTTTTTCCAATAACATTTTTTGTTAGTGCTATAAATAAAAATAACAAAAATTAATAACAAATAAATATTTGTATCAATATTTTATTATATATGTATTTATCATAGATTAAAACTTCAACCCTTCTCGCTAAGAAACACTGATTATTATAGTCCTAAAAACGGTTACAGCGCGATATGATAGCTTAAAACGGCATGTTGTTCTTTGAAACCTAAGTTAAGGTACGCTTATTTCAAATTAGAAACCTCTTTCTTACCTCTGTAAAACAGACAATATTTTTAATACTTATACTAGTGATATCACAAAGGTTTCTTAAGGAAGAGGGTCCCTTTCGGACCTCTAACCATTTTGTTATATTAACAAAAGAGAGACTACATTTTAAAATTACTTTGCCACCTTAACAAAATAGGAAATATCTAAATGCCTTCTCCAGCATACTAGTGATATCATTACTATTGATAAAGGAAAAAAATTTGAAGAAGAAAAACCCTTTCAGACCAAAAACTGCTTTCTCATCTTTATAAAATAGGTATCATAAATACCAACACCGCCACTATCGAACAGATATTTGAGGATGGGAGACAGAATGAAATTACTTTTCTAACGAGAGTTGGATAGAAATAAGTATCATCTCAATTTTTTTTTTCTTTGACTAATACCTATGACAGTAGTTTTTGAAAGAATCTTATATTCGGTCAGTGAATCTACGCATGCGAGGTGTCCCATCAGTACCGCTTACATATTTAAAATTAGAACAATTTTATGATATAGTTTATAAACAGAAAGATGACAGCAATTAAGAAAAATTAAAATGTCACGGAAATCATCTTTTTTGATGATAAAAAAATTGATAATAACAATTTTTAACTATCGCTACTATTGGACCATTAGGTGGTCCATAGAGTAAGACAATCATCATGATCGTTGTTCAGGTCTATTATCCGAAATTTGTTTTAGCCTCTTTTACTATTTCAGTTCATTTTTCATTCTTTCTAGAAATAATTCTCCAATTTCCCAATATAATAGTTCTTACGTTATCTTTATTTTGGTGTATGTCTTAATCGATTACATGGACGTCTACTATTTCTGTCATATAGTTAAGAATTATTATCTTCGCACTTTTGCCGCATATACATATTTGAATGTGGGTGATTCTTCCTAATGTTTGAGTTCTCATATATTTGAGAATATTTTTAATTGAATTCAATAGCCCCGCATTGGTTTTTAATTAAAGTATAGTAATATAAGATTCAGATGAGAGGATTAAACTCTTAGATTTATGGTAATTCTTTTGAAACAAAAACCTAATAAAAATTATATTAATAAAAATATCAAACATTTTAATATTTTTAAATATTACGCATACATTTCTTTTTATATGCCATCAATTTAATAGCAAAGGAACTAACTTTATTAATTTGTGAAGTCTCTAAAAAGACGATTAATGAAGTAACTAATTTTTGGTATAATTTGTAAATATAGGAATAAGTTATTCATAATAGATTACAAAAAAAAAAAAATTCATCTCTTTAAATAAGTTTCAATAGGAATTGTAATTTTTTATTTTCTTTTCGTAAAAAAAGTCTTTAACAACTAAAAACAGGAACCTTACAAATTTAGCAGACGCCTACAGCATCCTAACTAATCGTCCATTTGTGCGTTGTGGCACATCCAGCTCAGCAAAATAAATTTGTCTCAAATTGGTGCCATCTGCTGGCACGAAAATGAGACGACCATTTTTTAAATCACTTAAGCGGCTTAGCACCTCAAATTGACCATCATTGGTATTGGCGGGTACTAATTCATTTTCTTGCTCATCGACTTCATCAACTGCTTCAGCTGCTTTTTCTGTTGGCGCACCGTATGTCTCGGCTGGTAATTGACGATTATCAATATCAAGCTCAGGTGGTCCATAGGTTTCTGCAGGCGACTGCTTCAAATCAATGTCGACATTCGATAACTCATCCTTAGTTTCCGGCATATTGGACTCCACACTGACAGGCACATCAGCAACAGGCTCGGCATCACCACCAACAGCATCCACAGTAGGTGCACCACCGAAATCTTCAACGGGTTCACTGTTGGGTGGTTGAAAGTCTTCTGCTGGTTTTGACACACCATCAACAGCATTTTCCACAGTTGCATCAATTTTTTTTGCAGTCACCTCAGGTGCACCGTATGTATCAGCGGGCGTATGTGCGATATTATCTTCATCGTCGAATTCAATGCTTGTGGGTGCGCTTTGTGTTGTGGTCACAACAAAGCCAAAATCTTCAATTGGTGCAGCAGTGGTTGAGGTTGTTGGTTCTGGCACTGCTTTCGGTTGACGTTCATTCGGTAGCTCAAAAGGCACTTTTGGACGGAAACCCGCTGCTGGATATGGCGTTTTTTCTGCAACTGCACTGGGTGTTGTTGCCTCCACTTGGCGTGCGGACTTTTGTCTACTGATGCGTTTCACCGGTGAGCCATGTGTGGTGGACGTTAACGCGAGCGCGACTATGAACACCGCAAGTAGACGCATAGCAGCCATTTTTGGTATTTGTTTGTAAAATGAGTTAAATCGGTACTGTTGTTTGGTCTACGGGTTGGCTTTGTTTTTATACTGAAATAAAATATTTCGCTAGTCAAGTGACCGAATTTTTGTAGGTCTCAGGTAATAAATTCGGTTTTAAATATTTATTTAATTCAGTGACTAGTGCGTTCCTTTGACAAGGTTGCCATTACTGTTGAATTTGTTAATGAATTTATTTATAAATTGTTTAAACAGTTTCTTATTTACTTGTTTATTTTTAATAAATACGCACAAAAAGGTGAATACACCGAAATCGTCTCACTCAAGCGCAATGCTAATTTGCTCACGGCTCTGGGCATAAGGTTTCCGTATTGGGCGCAAAATGTGTACCATGTCATGCCAATCACGTTCCCAGATACAATTTTATCTGTTTACTGATTTCATTCCATGTTTTTATTCACTACAGCATTTGTTCGCCACTTGACAGAATTGGTTAAAAATGCATTAAACGCTATTGTCTTCCACATTTTGTTTTATTTCGCATTTTTAAATTAATTTTTAATGTATTTCACATACGTTTTTGTTGCTATGATAAATTATTTTATGCCATTTATTTACTGTCAGAGGTGGCACATGTACTTTATTATGCAAAAAAAGGAGTGCATAAATGCAGCCCCGCCATGTGGCCTTAATTAGTGAAAACATCATAAATTTTACGCGATATTCATATGTCATAAAATGTTAATATTTCGTACTGGTATATCAAAAAAAAAAAAAAAATCCGATAAAGTGGGAACATAAATATGCGAAATTACCTGGAAAACAACATAAGAAAATAATGAAATTATAAAAAATTGCAGATAAAAAATTATGTGAGTCAGAAATGAATGAAAACTGCAAAGGAATTTTTATTAATGAATTCATTCTCATTTGTGATGACAGATTGCAATAACGCGTACTGCACTTCGGCAATTCATATCGGTTCAGTTATTTATGCATTATCTGAGTCATTATGTCCTCAAGCCTTATTACGCGCCTTAATTAATTACCTTACGAGAGTGCTCGGTAACTGCATCATTCATCAGAAGTTAAGGGCAATCAGGATTTGCATTGAATGTAGTTGATGTCATAAAATATTTAAACAAATTTATTAAAAAATTATATTTTAAAAAGATTTTAAGAAAATAAAATCATGAAAAGGTTTTATTTTAAAAAAGGTTTTAATTAAAAAAAGGTTTTGTTTTAAAATTGCTGCTTTTATGTTGAATTATTTGAATGAACTTCAATAATAGAAGCGCTTAAGAGAATAAAAGTTTTAAATAAATTTTTTTCTTTCAAAAATAAACTTAAAACGATATGGAGACATAGAATACAATTGACCAGATCTGGCGTTATGGGAACACTAAATTATATTGATACAAGTACATAAGCATCGGAAAAATATATCGATGATAATTAGTACTTATATGAATATATATAAGCTATTTTAAAGAGTAAATTCACGATACTCTATTAATAATACCTATTACAGAATTAGGAATTCTTAAGCGTTTTACTTTGGTTATTAACAAAAAGAAGAGAGTTCAGCGAACTTTATAATAACAGTTACAGAGCGAGTGAATTTCACTTATCATACCTGATCGGAGATACAAATTTGAAACCAATGGGGTTAGTGCTCACAGCTTCACACATCCTTAACTATTGAGCTTGGCCCCATTAATGGGTGCATTGTATTGACTATGTTCAAAACCTGTAGTCACTTGCGCAGAATGACTATATTCATTTACTTTCTGCACTTTCCAATCGGGTGGTTTTAGTCAAGCAACAACAACGGCGTTAGATGGACCTTGCACCAAATTAAGAAGAAAAATATATCCAAATTTAAAACTTCAATTGGTACCAGCGAAAATCGTTGAGATTTCAGTTGGAGTTTATCGTTGCATTATACTGAAATGTTTGGTTTACCATGAGCACCATGACAGACACATAATCACGGTAAAAAGCGCTGAATCCTATAACAACCGTATAGTGTATATTTCTAATCAACAACAACAGTACAATCCAATTTAATTTACTATATGGGGAAGACGGAGCCTTTTAGTTCAAGATAATTTAACAGAATTTCCTCAAGATGTCCCCATCATGATAATTTAGACCCAAGATAAAACTAGAAAATAACATAATGGAACGGTAGAAAAATTGTAGACACTTGTTAAAGAATTTTATTTATGTTCCATATTTTTATTCTATTATTCTTATTACTAGAACGCAACAATGATTATTAAAAACTTATAAACTAAAGATTTTCAAAATAGATTGAGTAGAGTTTTTCTTACGCCACTACGTCTGAGTTTGATATCCCAGTAAAAATTATACGTTGAACACTATTACCACTTCCATAAGAATTGAAAAGAACATCACCAGTTATACCATAATAGGTGAGGTCTCATGAACGGTGACCCTTTATCATCATCCCAGCAGCAAATTCGAACCGCACTAGCTTAATTTGCTTTAATTGCTACGGTTTATTATAGAAACTAAACTCAGAATTCAGTTAGAGGACTGTAATATATATGTGATTTAAACAGTGAGTAAACTAAAGTTAATAAATGATGAAAAGCGGGAAAATATGACTTTTGGTCAACTTTTGGTAACTTATATAGTTTTCAAACGGATATTTTAAACTTGGCACAAGTCTTATTAAGAAACATGCATCACATTAGAATACATGCAAGCAAATTAAAACTCATCGGGTTTCGGTTTGCCGCAGCATGTCTTTCCAGGTGCCCCTGTTACGTGTACGCATTCTACAGTCTCGTACAACAAGTATGATTAGTGTTTCCTTATCTTGATCACTTAATTTGTGACACGGTTTACCTCTACATCTTCTTTTTCCAACTATCAAGCAGATTAGCCAAGCAGATAAATCTATACATTTATAAGGTTTATAAGGCATTTATCAGTTCCGATGAGTACCCCTATTGTCTTGTAGTTACTTACTTACTTAGTTGGCCATTACAGACGTGAGTTGTCCTTGGCCGCGTCGAGTAGCCTCCGTCAGTCAACCCGATTAGTGGTTTGCTGTTGCCTGTTAGTAGTACCGAGCACCGCCAAATCGTTGGTCACCGGGTCCTTCCACCGAAGATGCGGACGATCTCTACCGCGTTTTCCATCTGCGGGTATTGAATCAAATACCTTTCTAGCCGGAGTATTTTCTTCCATTCCCACAACATGACCAAGCCAGTGTAGCCACTAACTTTTTATGCACTTAACTATGTCAATGTCGCGGTATAGCTCATCGTTCCATCTAATTCGAACTCGTCGCCAATACGTAAGGGACCATAGATCTCGAAGAATTTTTTTTCGAATGCTCCTACTGCCTTCTCATCACTGTTGGTAATTGTCTAAGCTTCTGCACTATACAGCAGGACAGGCCTGATAAGAGATTTGTAGAGCGTGATTTTCGCTTGTCGAGAGAGGGCTTTATTTCTCAATTCTCTACTTAACGCGAAGTAACATCTGTTGGCAAGAGTGATGCTTCGTTGAATCTCTACGCTGACGTCTGGTTCCTAAATAAACAAAGTCTTTCACAACTTCGAACTTATAATTGTCAACAGTGACGTTGGTCCTATTGTATTGTACTGGTATTAAAATTATTGAAAGGAAACTCCTAAAATTCAAATATATTGGCCACCATTTACAATTTATTTGAAAATTATTTACATAATTTAAAAATACGCCCAAATTATATATGATATTAAAACCAATGTATGGATAAATTAATTTATAGTTATTTTCAAAATGTTGGTAAATAACTAACACAACTTTTTGTTGTTTTTTATTCATTTTAAAATAATTGAAATGTTTATTTGAAAGATTAAATTACGGATATGCCCAATAATAGATACATTTTCTATTTATTTATATCATTCACTCGTTATGTGAATATTATTTCTATTTAATTTCTATTTTCAAAATATTTTTTAACATTAAAACTATTCATATTTTTTTTTTTGTGAATAAATTTAAAAATATTTAATTAATTCGTTACAAGCGAATGTATTTATTTGTAACAAATGAAATCTATGCTAATTGCATAAAATAATTTATGCAAAATATGGCAACGTTTTAATTAGAGCATAAAAACACAGAAACAGAAACAAATTGGCGAAAAAAAAATACAAAATAAATCGGAAAGTTCATTAGTCAAAAATAGACAAAAACAAATTTAAATTAATTTTTTTCACATTCAGCAAACGCATAAACATATTTTTGTTTATTTTTTTTTTTTTTTTTTGGAATTTTGCGCAAATTCACATACAACGAATAAACAAACAATAACAAATTTATGCACATTAAAGCACTCAATGCTGTGTGGTATAGCCCCAAAGACTAACAAACAAATGCGCGCAACAACAAAACAACAGTTGACAAACAAACTCACTCATAAACGAAAAATACTCATAAAAGCCAAATCAGTGCTGAATATTGCCAATTTTTTTGTTTTTGTACTTAATATGCAATAAATTTTCATATTTATGGAGTTTAATTTGGCAAATGCAATCACATGTAAGCACATAAAAATACCAAAGCATAAAGGCAAACAAACATACACACACACACACAAACATACCTAAGTGTATATATTTCAACAAACGCGCCGCTTCAATGCAAAATGAGCCATACGCACACACATACAGCCCACTTCTGAAGGTTTGTTTTATTTAATGTAGTAAAAATTAAAAATGTTACCGAAATAGAATTGGAGCAGACTGCGGCGTCTCCTACAAACGACAATCATTTGTTGAAATTGTGAAGTATGCACACAGGTGTGTGTGTACAGGCTACACCTGTACTGTGTGTGGCTCAGTATCGCAGAGTGTGTATAAGTGTACGCTTACGTTTAGGCAAATTTGTGTGTGGCTTTTGAGTTAAATTTCCAATTTGTTCAAATTCATAAATTGCACATTAGTTCGCACATGAAATATGGCCTTTTTATGCTGAAAGACTCATTGTTGTTGTTGTTTTAAATATTTTATCTTAAAGGCACAGGTGTCGTCACAGGAAGTTGGGCATATTTTTGTTTAGAAAAAATGTGCTAATTGAAAGCATATAA